CCCAGAGAGCCGCCACTGAGAAGCCACTCGCCTACCTTATGTTTTAAACCTTTCCTGAAAGTGTTTGATCCAAGTTTACATCTATGGAAAATCAGCTTTCCTTAGACACAACCTTGACCAAACACAGAGGAGCCAGCTCCCAGCCCACTGCCTTTCATTCACAGGAGAGAAGAAAATTCTCCTTCTTATCTTCTCCTCTCTGCTGCTCCCAGAGTGTTGCTGCCCTGTCCTCATCCAGCACGGTCACCTCTAGGAAGGTCTCCCCCATCAGTTTAATGCCCGTACCAACATCTAGGATCCTCTTCCGCCTGCACTCCAGCCATCTGCCCGTGCCTCTCCCTCACATTTCTGACATACTCCAGGGCTCACGCTCTCCCAGCAGCCTGGCCCTGAAGACCCTCCAGCATGCCGGCTACTGGGCACACCTAAAGGCCTTTTTTTGCAGGCATTATGACCAAACCCTGCCCCTCAGCAGCCACACCTTCAAACCCCAAACCCAGAGGTCTCTCAGTGCTGACCTCAGCCCCCCGGCTCCTCCTCTTAGGCCCCCACGTCCACTGACCATTGTGAAGGAATAATACCATTGGGTCTCATACGAATCCACACTGAGTAACCCTAGTGGGCCCTGGTGGCTTTTTAGCAATTCATTTATTCATTTGCAGCTACACCCCAATTGTGATTCCCACAGCGGCTGCTAAGAACCTGCTCCTTCCAGTCCCAAGAACCCACATTCATCCTGTATCCCTTCTTCCCACTGAGCAGATGACACTGCCTTCATGTCAAACTCTCCCAGAACAACTTCCCAATGTCCCAGCTCACCACCTATCCAGCACCACCTCTAAAATTTACTTTCATAGAGAATGCTTTTTTCTTCCACATTTCCTGTCACAGAAAAAACAAAAACAAAAACCCAGCATCCTCCTTTCCTTGGTGAAGGCCTCTCTAATGAACCATCTCTTCCAAGGCCACACACTTAGCGACTGGCACCCCTCACCTTCGACTTCAATCCTTCCTCTACTAGAATGTCCATCCCTCAGCCTACAAACCATCACATGTCCCCTCACCAATTCTAAAAAGAACCAAAGTACAGTAAAGTCTTCCCTCGCCGGGCTGAACTCTAGCCGGGTCACCCTCTGTTCTCACGTTTGCTGCAAAGATCATCTCACTGCCTCCTGCCCTTTTGGGCGCCTAAAACCTCCTTTCACATCTAATATGACCCAATCACCCTGCTCAGGTTTTTAATTCTCATTCTCCAGAAATAGACATTTTAACGTGATGACATAATATCACATGATATGTGGTGTCACGTGTATTTGTTCAAAGCTCTGTGGAGTATTCAGCAGGTGTCACTCTGCATCTTGACACGTGATCTAATACAGGCTCAAAAGCTGCAGTGACTTGTTTAAGACCACAGTTTGATGAAAGGAGAATTTCAGAATTTTGATCTATCTATGCTAATCCAGGGTCTCTCCCCCTTACCACTACTGACATTCAGGGCCAAACAGTTTCCTGTTGGAGGCGCTGCCCAGGATGTGGCAGGACGTCTATCAGCAACCTTGGCCTGGACTCGCTGCAAATCTTTAGAAAAAAAAGGGAAACCCTCTCTGTGAGAGCAACTGAAAATGTTCCCAGATATTGCCAAATGTCTTCTGGAAAGCAAAATTACTCCCTTGAGAAAAACTGGTCTAAAGCGACACCAGAAGCTTCTCTCACCACACAGCGCACTGGACAACAGTGACACAAACACACCCCCGCCCCGCAGTTCTGAAAATGCCTTCCTTTACTTCCGTGCTCCACAAAACTGCACGACTTGGATTCCACTCCCGCTACCCTCGCTCTTCTCAGGCCCTCGTCAATGAAGAGTTAGCAAACTGTGTCCCAACAAGCCTGAGAGCTCGCATCCTAAATCTGGGCCCCAATGTTTCACCTTGAGCAATTTATTTAACTTCTTCGAGATGAAGTGGCTTCATCTGTCAGAGCGTAATGATAACAACTGCCTCGTAGGAGTGAAATAAGCACTTAATGAAGAAAAAAAACAAAAGCAGCTACACCCTGGACTGTGGACTCGGGTTAACACAGACCAAGTAAATACCAACGTTCCCTTTGCCCACACCTTTCACTCTCCGCCTTGCCTTTAGTTTTATTCTTCACACTTCCCTACTTTTTTACAAATTCGTAGGGAGCACATTGACTCCCTCAGAAGAAACCTCTATGTGTCTTTAAGTTACTGCATCCTTGTCTAATTCTCATAGTTTGTTTTACAGTGTACACAATATATTAGTAAGTTAGTAACTAACTGAATTCTCCTGGGAAGTAAGTAGGAGTTCCCAGTAGGAAGTCTGTGCTCAAACTACACATAAGATTGTCTGATGTGTTGCAGGATTCAACAGTTTGGAGACCACCTGGCTCTATAATCACAGTCCAGATGTAACAGATAGCTCAGTTAGATTGGCCGTCACCAAGGATTAACCTTACCACCCTCCTACCCAAAAACCGTTAGAGAATTCCATTCACCCAGAGAAAGCATTAAGACTCCTGAGCCTGGAATGTGAGGCCTTCTGCTTTCCTACCAAATTTCACTCTCTGGACCCACATTTCATAGCTCCCACCCCCCACATTCCTGTACCTCCAACTTAAGATGAAAGTGGGGACGGAGACATCGGTGGGCACAGAGGTGGCGATTCATTCACCACTTTCCCCTTCAGAATATACCTCGTTTACTCTCAAATACGTGTAGAACTAAACTATTATTTCTCAAGCACATATTGTTCATATACTAACTGTTTATAACAAAAACTACGTGTTGAATTTTAATATAAATATTGGTAAGCACTGCATCTTTCACAGTGGACGAGGACCTCCTGGCAAATGAGGACAATTTAATATGAAACAAAGAAAACATTTATTAAATGCAATTAAGTAAATATGTCAAAAGAGTCTGCATTTTTAATACATTATATTTACAATGGTTAAAAGCCATCTGAAAAAGACAGTGAATTATAAAAATTTTAACACAAAGATTAATAAACCTATTTCGCTCAGGGATGACACTACAGAATGAAACGCCTTTTGAAGCCAAAAAGTTTAGAAATCTCGAGTAAGATGTTCGCAGACGCCAAGCGACCCGATGAAAGTTTAATGACAGGGACATAAAAAATAAAAAGTCGTGAAAGTTAATGCTTACAAAGTCACGGGTCCAGACTTGGGACAAAGAGTCCAGAAGCAAAACTCTTCTTTGCATAAAGACACTTACCTACTTACAATCTGGGTATTATATAATGTTAAACATTATGAATGTAGTACAAATAAAGCAATTTTATGGCTGGGATACTGGAATGGTACCTTTTGGGAGCTATTTGCACACATGGAATCAATAATATTTGAGTAATAAATTATTCATGCAGAATGTAAAATCATTAAACAAATGCAATATAACACAAAGGTAGAAATAGAGACTGCCGTGGGTGATATCAAGTAGCATCAGCCTGCACCTTCATATGGAACAAACACAGCTCTATTTCCACATTTTAAAACAGAACCAGACTAAGTGGAAAACTTCAATTTTGGTATTTGGAAAAAAATAAGAATGGAAAAACTCACACTGACGTAAATTTTTTAAAAATCAACTTGTAGATGAAAAACAAAAACATAACTGAATGATGGAAGTTGCATATTAACCTACCAAAAATCAGCAAAAATCTGATAATATGCAAAGTGGTTGAAATAAGAGAAGAAAATTCCTGAGTTTGGCAGGAAATGCGAGACCCCCCAAAAAAAGAATTTGCGTCTCTTGCTCAGAAAATCGCCTGGGAATCGAACGGCATCTTCTTACCTTAATGACATTTCCTTTGCTTTGAGACACCGTGTGTGATTGATTCCCCACTTTCCCCACTTTTCCAGATTTCCAGTGATATCCACTTGACCTTCAGCACATATAAACAAAACAGAAACACAATCACTAAATACATCTCTCCTTTTAATGAAAACAAATATAGTTTCCCTGCTTGGAAACTCAGTTGTTAACATGTAACAAACAAGCAGAAAATGAAAATAAAACATGAGTAATGCCTCATCTCTTCAGCAACTTTAAAATATGGCTCCACCATATTTGTTACTTTTGTGGAAGAAATGAATAAAAGTGAAATACCCCAACTCAAACGGAGAATTCCATTTTTTATATTGAAAATGACTAAAGATGGCTGTACTGATTTACAGGGCACCTCACAGGTTGCCGTGTAGTTTTGGAAGCGCGTGTCTGCAGATGGAGAGAGTGAAAGCCAGCAAACCAACACCCCAAAATATTCAGCATCACTAGTAAGTGACGGATTCCTTATTAAGACCCCACACGAGCTCGCACACTGAAACGTAATAGAGATTGCAGAGAAGGCATGCTTTAGTTGTATAGTTTTCAAAGCTCCTTTATTTCAGCCTCATCTGATTTTTCTGAAGTGAACAGGGCAGGGAGTCCAATTCCCATTTTAAAAATAATGAGACTACAACTTGCCACGTGCCACGCAGGCGATAAATAATTAAGATGAGAACACTGACCTTCTGGTCAGCAAGTGGCAGGATCTCATCCTCGCTGTGACTCTAAGTCTCTGTGAGATCTTAGAAGAGAATTTAACTATTCTGAAGACCAAAACATCATGTTTCCCTGAAAATAAGACCTACCCAAAAAATAAGCCCTAGCAAGATTTCTAAGCATTTGTTAAATATAAGCCCTACCCTGATGATAATAAGACCTAGTGATGGCTCCATGCATTTCAACAGGGAGTGGTAAGGAAGACTGGAATACCTTTATCTGCCACAGCTCCTTTCTCTGAGCTGTTCGTACTTGCGGGGGTGAGCATCTGATAACTGCAGTCGCAGGCATCCTACCACACACGTGCGACTGACTAGGGGAAAAGGGTTCGCGCATCACGAGAGCCAGCCCCACCAACAAGGTCGGCTCCCCTGTCAGGTTCCAGAAGAAGATGACTTAACTATATTTGAATAAATGTAGATTGTTGTACTATACTTAAAAATAAGACATCCCCTGAAAATAAGCCATCATGTGTCTTCTTGAGAAAAAATAAATATAAGACAGTGTCTTATTTTCGGGGAAACATGGCACATCTAGAAAAGTTTCCACTGCTAAGGAGAACTAACTCATGGAGGCTGATTGTCAGTAATGACCACAACCCATTGAGAAGCACAAATGAAGTCCCCATCAGGGAAGGCAGAAGGACCAGCCAGGGCACCGCAGGACAGAAGCACCAGAACGCACAGTAAACTGTCACCAGGGATGACGGACGGACGACACAAGATCCTCAATGCTCAGCCTATTAGAGAGGGTCTGTGCACACGCCCTGCATGCTTTTTCAAAGAATTGGACTTTGAAGATGAATACAGCTGAGACTATTAAACATATTTGAGTTTTCCTTAATGGTTCAAGAGGTACCTCATAGGCATTTAATGGTTATCACTTTGAGGACCTTTGTCTGGCAAAATTAAATTTGCTACAGAAAGAGTCTGGTAGTGTTTGGTACCAGCAAAGGCACATGAAACGTGCACTCTAATCTCTGTAGAAGAAGGTTATAAACTTTAGAAGCTTGTTTGGAAAACAATTTCTCAGTGTCTACCACAATGTAGATGCGCATACACTCTGACCTAAAATTACAGAAGCAGGAATTCATCCCACCACACCCTTGCATACGTAAGCAGGGCTACATGTAGAAGCCTGGTCAGGACAGTATTTATAATCACAACATGCTGAAAGCTTAATAAAGATCCGAAACAATGCTATTGTTTCTGCACAAAGAAATATTATGTCACCACTAAGAGAATGAGACAGATTAATGTGTGCTGATGTGAGGAGACGCTGACGTATATTCAGTATAATAGTAGGATTTGGAGTAATTCCCCTATTTTCATAGATGGTATCATTTCTGTAAACTTTAGAGAGAAGACACATCAGATAGAGACACTGACAACACACTCATGCACACACGTGTGTACACTGACATACAAAGACCAATTTCTGGGAAGAAAATTTTAATCACTAAAAGTGGTACGAGGCAATGAGAGTGAGCCTCGCTCTAAAAGGAGATCATTTCATCATATAATTCTCAGTTCTATTTGACTGAGTCATAGTAAAACAACAGTCTCAGTAAAATGAGTACAAATACTACGTATGCAAGAATAATATTACAGATAGTATTAGAGAGATCTCCATAAAATTTCAGCTAACTTGCATTTGCTAAAAATATTTCAAATACACTTTCAAACACACAAAATCCTGACCCCCACAAGCCTTTTAATATATAAGAACAGGGTCTATCTCACGGGGTGCATTCTTCCTCTTCTGCCCTTGGACAACTCCGGGCACTCTGGACGTAACACCAGAGGCCCCCGGGCTCTCGGGCCTTTGGCAGAGACATTGGCTTCTGTGGATCTGGGGCCTTTGGACTGAGTCATGCTACCTGCACCCCAGGGTCTTGGCAGCAGGTGGCCTGCAGTGGTGCTTCTCAGCCTCCCTAGTCACATCTGCCAACCCCATCACTCAGCAAAGGTGCCTGCAAGGACAAACAGGCCCAGAACCCGGGGCCTGTCCATCAGCTCACATAAGCTTCAAATGGCATTTTGGTTTTTAGTGTCATTCCCTCAGTGAAATAGGTCTCCTAATGCTGGTGTTAAAATCTTTATAATTCCCTCTCTTCATGCCAATTATCTTTTATAAAACACTTCCTATAAATTGAAAGGGGAAGAGGACAAAAGAAACCATTGAAAAGTGAGCACCTACTGTATACCAGGCCTACAGTGAGCACCTACTGTATACCAGGTACCCAAGAGATACCTTGTCTTTACCATTTCATCTCCAAACCAGCCTGTAAGGAAGGTGGAATCAGAGATAAGAGGACACTGGGGAGGTAGAGCAGCCTCCAGGAGCACACTTGTTCCCAGCGGGAAGTGCACTCCACAGAAACAGACTAGAGACGGCTACTGGAACAAAAATCACAAGTAGCTGCCGAGAAGTCATGTATAACAGCTTTCTGGAGGTAGGACTAGGCGAGGTACAATGTCCCATGGGCTGTTGCCTCCAGTAGTCTTTGGGAAAATAAAGAGCATTGGAAAAAAAATAGAAACACATTGTTATTTCCCAACCGTCCCTAACAAGTTCCAAGTTCACAGTCAGTAGCAACTTGTGAATCCAGGTGTTCCACTGTGCAGAGCTGGCTGGGTTGCCTTTGTCCTCACCCATAATAAGGTGGGCAGAGTTCATAAATCTCCCCGAGGCAGGTGGCTTTGAACCCAATTACTGACATCAAGACAAGTGTCATATTCGATAGGCAAACTTGCTGATCAGATTTTGAGTCAGTGTTCCACAACCATTGCTGATAAGATTTTGAGTCACTGTTCCACAACCAAAAAGCACCTGGCCTGCCCTAGGGAATACCCAGGTTTAAGAAATATATACTGGTCTACAAACCTATGTATATATGTGTAATACACACACACACACACATATATATACACACACACACACATATATACACTCACACATACACACACACATATACACACACACATATATACACACACATACACACACATATATACACACACACATATACACACACACATATATACACACACACATACACACACACATATACACACACACACACATATATACACACACAGATACACACACACATATACACACACATATACATACTCATCTATAATATACATGTCTGTATATTCAATATATACATGTATTTATTTGAAACCAGATCAACAAAGCTGTCCCTAGCCATGTACTGGGGTTCACTCCCTGTGGATGGCAGTCACCTCTCTTGAAAAGCAAGAGAGCAAAGGGCAAAGTCTGCATTGCTGTCCTAAATACCCCAGACCATAAATTACGGAAAAGCACAAAGTAAAAAGACAAACAAGAAAGGATAAGACCAAATAAAGTTCAGAAGAAACAAAAGTAACAGTAATTTAAAAAATCAACACACCTATAAAACACAAAGGGGGATTGAACATTGCCTGTTGCTCGGGGAAGCCAGAACTGACCCGTCTGCTAGATTTTTTTATGGGAGTTACAGCAGCCTATGAAGCAGATCTGCCCGTAACCCAGTTTACTCCTCTGAAGCTCTCCAGAACTTCCACCCACCCTATCTCTTCCTTCTCTTTGCTCCTCGTGGACCGGAATTCCTGCAGCTTCTGGGCCATCTCCTGGGTCTCCAGCTCCAGCCGCACTTTCTCCATTCGCAATTCTCGGGCATTTCTGAGGACATAAGATTTAGATGCAAAATGGTCAGTTGGACAAAACAAAATGGTAAACAAAAGAACCCAAGGCAAAATAACTTTATATGATCTATTGCCGCTAAAGGAAAAGTATGAATAATCAATAAATCATGAACTATTTCAGCTACTTTGTACTTCTCTTGCCTCCGATTAATATTATGTTTAAGCAAGCTATCTCTTCAAATGCTGGATTTTTACTTTACCTAATTCATGGCTAGAGGTTCAAATCATGTTTACCTTCAGACAGGAGCCATGTTTTAAACATGAACAAATATCTATGACACACAAATAGAAAAAAGAAGAAAAATTATTTTCTAATTTTCATGACGTCTTGCCTCTAACATTTAAGTCATTTCAAGTACAAAATTTAAGGTGATAGTTTTTTATATATACAGGCAAAATACACATTTTGGCTAAGCTAATCATCCTGGAACCCTCAAATAAATCTCTCCCTTTCCATCATGTTTGTATTAAGTGTGTGGAGACAGAACATGTTTAAAGCCTATTGAGAAGAAAGCCGCTAAGGTTTCGATAAAGGAGATTCCTGTGCAAGAAATGTTGACAGTAATATCTCAAGCTCACGAAGTTTTTGCCCCAAGCTATCTTCTTCCTTTTACAATTCTAACCTCTTATCAGCATTAGTCATTGACTCTCTTGCTTAGAACCAACCCCCCAACTAATTCTTTGATTATTAATCATGAATTTAACGCTCTTCCTCCATTATTTCGAGAACGAAGTGTTTTTCGAGAACGAAGCAGCTTGGGCCCCAGGCATGCTACAGCATAGAACCACACAAAGGAATAATGCAGATCAGACAGGGAACAAATTTACAGGGATGGTGAGCAGTCAGCACAGAGCAGGTGTGCCAAGGACACGTCCTCACAGACACAATTCAGGGAGATTTGTGGAAGGTGATATGAGACAAAGGCTGTCGGAAGATTTCAGAGAAGCCGGCCAAGATGTAGGAGGAGAGGCTTTATTTTAATTATGTGTATGCCACAAGGAATAACTCAGTTCCCAGTGCAAATTACGTTGTGATGGGTGGGAGGATATGAGGAGTAATGGACCCTCCAGTTCAGTGAGGAACACAGACAAGCATGAGGATGGCTGCAGCTCAGTGTGACGGGGCTCTCGGGGGAGCGTGGGGCTCCCGGCCAGGAAGAGCGGCACCTGCTCCGGCCCGCGGACTGGACTACAGGGGCAGCTCCTGGAGAAAGTGAAGCCTGAGCTGAGACACAGCCAGTCACAGCTGGGTGATTAGAGCAGTGTTCTGGGCAGAAAGGAGCGTGGGTACAGGCAGGAAAGAACGGTGTGTGAGCCAGGGAACTAGAAGCTGCCTGTGACCAGACGTCAAGTGCAGGATGGGAAACATGGCAACAGTGGTCAGGTCACGAGGAGCCTCATGTGTCCAGGGATTGGTGTTTGTATTCTATGAATAATGAGGATCATTACAGGGGTTAAGAGAATGGATCAGACTTGCATTTTGACCAATCACTCAAGCTGTAACACTGAAAACTCAATTAGAAGGTACACGACTGAGAGAGAGACTATTCCGGTAATCTGGACAATTGACGGAGATTATGCTGGTCTGCCGGAGGGGAAAATGGGAGCTTTTCAGAAAAAATAAGAAAACACAATTAACTACTTGGACACAGACCAAGATAGGTGACTGACCCCAGAGGGGACAGGAAAGGATTCTAAGTCTGAAGGACATTGGTGCTGTTTTCTGCACTAGGTTATGACGGGGTGAGCTGGGGACACAATTCAGGACCAGTCCCCCAGCTGTTCTGTCTGAAGTCTCAGCAGCCCACAACACTTTGCACTGTGCTCACGGAGGAAGATTTCAGAAACACAATTGTACAAGATCACACCTGCCACCATGCACTCACGGTGGCAGCACTTTACAAACAGCTCAGAAGGCTTCACGGCCTGGGTCCATCCATGTGTCCAGCTGCGTCCATGTGGACGTGTGGCGGTGTCTTGCTGAGTGGTGTTCATGACTGTCGTTGCATGTTTTTGTGTGACATTGAGGCAGTGTCAGAGCTCAAATTAGAGCAATGAACAAACATTCGTAAATTTCTTGTTAAACTTGGAAGTGGAAGTGAAACCAAGACCATGTTAGTCCAAGTTTATGGTGATAATGCCTTGCAGAAAACGGCAGTGTACAAATGGATTAAACTCTTCTGTCACTGATGAAAAGGGGCCAGGGTGGTTGGCAACAAGCAGAACTGATGAAAACACTGCAAAAAGTCATTGAATTGTGTGTCAAAATCACACTGTGAGAAGCACAGCGGAGTATCAACAGAGAAACAGGAAAATCTTCATTGACAACTTTGGCATGAGAAAGGTGTCTGAAAAAATGGTCCTGAAAGAGCTCACTGATGAGAAAAAAGCACCAGCACTGGCTTTGAGGGAGTTTTTTAGTTAACAAATAACTGTGTTGGAACACCCACCCTTCTCACCCTGTCTGGCCCCAAATGACTTTTTTCTTTACCTGAAAATAAATATTGAAAGGAAGACATTCTGATGACGTTCAGGACACCAAGGGGACAATGACAGGTCTGATGGCCATCCCAGAAAAGGAGTTTCCAAAATTGCTTTGAAGGGTGGATGAGGTGCTGGTGTCGGTGCTCAGCTCCCCGAGGGAATAGGTTGAAGGTGGCCATAGCAATATTCAGCAACGGGGTGTGTTTCTAGGCTGACTTCATGAACTTTATTGCCAGACCTCATATGAATAACTGTGTCCTTGACTTGTTTAGAAGACATTCAGTGTTTCTGAAATCTCACACAGGTAGAGAAAAGGAGCAGGACTAAAGAAAGGACTGTCCTGCTGACCAAGTGGTCAAGCTTCATGTCTGGATTCTGAGGACAGAGGATGAAGATGACACTGGACACAGAGCCAGAGGGCGGGTCAGGCCACTGAGGACAGCTAAGGCTAGAGGGCGGGCCAGCCCACTGAGGAGAGCTAAATTTGGCTTTATTTATTTATTTCAAAATTTATAAAATAATTAATATATTTAATTAAGAGATTTAATTAAGATATCCAAAATGGCCATTTCAGCAAAAATGTATATTTTACCTATAGAAAAAAAATAAATTTTATGCTTCAAGCTATTTGAATATGTTAGAAGCAAGACAGTATAAAAACGAGAAAATAATTTCTATTCAACACATCAAATCCAAAAGCCAGAAATAAGAGTCAGATGGGTTGGAGCTGGAAATAAGGTACGGAGTAGAAGGCACCAAACTGTCAAATAATGTGAAGGTGATTTGGACCATGTCGGAGGGACAGCTCAGACAAGGAAGGGGAGAACGGGAACTTCACAGCAGCTGCCACGGGGCTGGGGGGGTGTCCAGTGGGTCTGGGGATCACAGGTGGGTCAGGAAGACGCACAGGCCCAGGAATCTGTTTCACATTCCTTTCTAAGATCAATTCCAAATTTCTTGCCAAGGCCTACAAGTTAGTTATCATGTAAACTCTGCCCTTTTCTCTCACCTTGTTCTTAGTCACTGTCTGAAAAGTTTCCAAACTATGTGGTCTCTGCACCTGTGCACAAGTTTCTCCCAGAAACTACCCAACTGACTCCATCTCTCAGGCACAACTGAGATTCACTCCTCCCCTCTTCTGCCCTGCCACATCAGGCTGTGTTCTCCCAGAGCTCTGTGTGTGTTACACGTCAGTGTGACTTTACTTGTTCACGTCCTCTGCAAGCGTCCTGAGTGCAAAGACTTTGACTCCTGCGTGTACAGCTTACCCTTCCAGCTGGCACATCATGTACAATATACACATTTAGTAAATGCCTGCTGGATGAATGTTTATAGGTGTAGACACATAGGCTGAAAAACCTCACTTAAATCCAACAATTCATAACCCTTTCTCTTTTTTCTACTTAAAAAAAAAAAATGGTAGCACTAACCAGGCACAGTGGCTCACACCTATAACTCCAGTACTCTAGGAAGCTGAGGTGGGTGGACCACTTTGAGCTCAGGAGTTCCAGGCCATCCTGAGCAAAAGCACTACACCAACTCTACTAAAAATAGAAAAAATAGCCAGTGTGATGTCTGGCGCTTGTACTGCCAGCTCCTCAAGAAGCTAAGGCAAGAAGATCACTGGAAGCCAAGAGTCCGAGTTTGCTGGGAGCTATGACACCACAGCATTCTAGCCAGTGTGAGCCCATGTTTCAAGAAATGCTGGTACTAGCAATTAGATAGCCCCTCCCCACCAAAAAAAATCTAATAATTGCATAAATTTGTATAATTTTCCAGTTTACAGATATAACTAGCTTCTCAAAAGTGTAAAGAGCATTAGAAAAGCTCGGAAGACACTAAGTGACCACAGAATTCCTGGTCTGCAGCACTAGAGAGTAAGTTGTCACTGTGTCATCATCCCAGACTGACCACCTCTCAGTGACATTTAAGAGGAAGGCCCTGAGTATCTCCAGAGACTCCCTGTGGTCTCAAAGGGAAACAAAGAGTTGAACCTTCCCAAACACCTGCAGTGTCATGAAGTTCCCAGGATGCCCAGAATTATCTGGCTCTGGAGGAACGCATCTCCTAGTCAGACTATGACAGAAGGTAAATTCAACCCATCCTTTAACTATGCAAAGGGCTGGGGGGACGTGTCACTTTCTATTCCCCGTTTAAAGATTTCTCACCCTAATATTCTCCCTTAATCTTAATTTCTCCCTAAATTTCAGGGTTATTCTTTTTTAAGCTTGAATAAGGGTCATAAAAACACTTTAAACTTTCTATTAGAATGCTTTTATAGGTAATGAGCCCAACATTTATTTATAACTTGTCATGTTGATTCTTGTGGAATATTTTAATCCCTGTTCCAAACTGTTACAGACATAGTATTTCAAATTTACTTTGCTATAGATTGAAAGTATAGTAATATGAAAAAATGGAAATAAGAATTCACAATATTTGAATTCAATTTTAAACAGTCTCATGGAAAAAGAACAGTTTATACAGAAAATTGGCAGCAATTTCTACTTAAGAAACATATTAATAAATATAAATGTACTTACTTATATTTTAGCTTTATGGAATTTCCAGGTTTTCCCCATGGAAGAACTACAAAATCTTTGGTGTTCATGATTACTGCTTTACTATTTTCTAAAACTTGTTCTGATTTGTATAAATTTCTGAAAAAGTAACAAAGACAAAAGATGTCAGAATGAAGCAGTGTAAATTACAATTTCAAAATTCAGTGTAAATCAGGAAAATTTTTTAAACAAAAATATGCATGAGGGAAAAATCAAACAGCAAAAAATACTATGCAGCCATTAAGAAAGATGGAGACTTTACCTCCTTCATGTTTACATGGATGGAGCTAGAAAATATTCTTCTTAGCAAAGTATCCCAAGAATGGAAGAAAAAGTATCCAATGTACTCAGTCCTACTATGAAACTAATTTATAGTTTTCATAGGAAAGCTATAACCCAATTTTAGCCCTGGAAATGGGGAGAGGGGAGAGGGAGGGGAGGGGTGGGATCAAGCCTATGGTTCATCCTATAAGGGTACATGTGAATCTCTCTAAATATAGAATATAAATGTCTTAACACAATAACTAAGAAAAAGACATGGAGACTATGTTAACCAGTTGGATGAAAGTATTTCAAATTGTATATAGAAACAGTACACTGTACCCCATGATAGTATTAATGTACATCGCTATGATTTAATAAAAAAAAATTATTGTAAGTGGGTCATTACAAAAGTTTAGAGATATGAAATCAAAAACATAAAATTGGTGTGGATGGAGACAAATGAAGCAACCCCAATAAAGCTGAGTTAAGCTGACCCTTGCAGGGATGAATCAGAAAGGGCCCTGTGGACTGTGTTTCTAGAAAGTGACATAATGGACCAGAACACTGTCTATCTCAAAACTTTCGTAGTCACCCATGTACACAGCTGACCATTCATGTTCACAGGATTTTCAGCCATATGTTCAACCAACAGAGTATCAAAAATACTCAAGAAAAAACAATTAACAACAATAGAAAATAATACAAGTATATAGGATAACAACTATTTGCACAGTAATTCCATTATCTTAGGTATTAAAAGTAATCTAGAGATGATTTAAAGCAGCACTCCACAACCATTTTGGCAACAAGCACTGGTTTCATGGAAGATGATTTTTTTCCATGGACCCAGGAGGTGGAGAGGGCATCTGACAGCAGGTGGGGCCCGGGCAGTGATGCAGTGACGGGAGTGCTGTAAATACAGATGGAGCCTCACCTGCCTGCCACCCACCCCTGCTGTGGGCCCAGCTCCCAACAGGTTTGCAGCCTGAGGTTTCAACGCCTCCGATTTAAATTATATGGGAGGGTGTGCAGGGGAGGGTGTGCAGGGGAGGGTGTGCACAGGAGGCTGTGCACAGGGGTGTGCACGGGGGTGTGCATGGGAGGATGTGCACAGGAGGCTGTGCACAGGGGTGTGTGCACCGGAGGCTGTGCACAGGGGTGTGCACGGGGGTGTGCATGGGAGGGTGTGCACAGGTTATGTGCAAACATTGTGTCATTTTATACAAGGGACACGAGCATCCTCATATTTTGGAATGAACAGGTGGGCGGCAGGTATTGGAACCAATCCCCTACCAATACCTAGGGATGACTGTATGTTAAATACTTTGCAGGGTACGTTAATACTTACTTATAAAGTTACAAAGATAACATCTGATGGGACTGAAATTTCACTAATATTTATATATAGTTGACCTCTGAATAATCCAGGAGTTAGGAGAACCAATCCCCCATGTGGTCAAAAATCCACATACAACTTTTAACCGCCCAAACGTAACCACTGATAGCCTGCTGGTGACGAGAGGCCTTACTGATGACATAAACCGCCGATTAGGACACATTTCGTATGCTCTGTGTATCCTATGCTGCGTTCTCACAGTAAAGCAGGGTAGAGAAAAGAAAAATGATGAAAAGAAAAATTCTCTTCCTTATGGTTATTTAAAAAATCATAAGGGAAAGAAAATATATTTATCATTCATTAACTAGACCATCATAATGGACTTTTAAATTTTATTTTTTAATTTCAAAATATGAAGGGGGTGTAGTTGTTTTTGATACAGGGCTTGAATCAAGGCTATAAATGTGCCCATCACCTGAATAGGAACAGCACACACTGAATGTGCCGTCTAGTAAATTGGAACTAACCCTGGGGCACCCGCACCCGAGTGAAGGTTTCCATCCTCTCTGACTGCAGTGAGTAGGCTGGTGGGGGGAGCGGAGAGAGGGGGTTGGGTTGCTGTCTGGGTTTGGGGGTGGCAGGAGGGAGGAGGTGGAGAGGGCAGAAGGGAGACAGGGCAAGGCACACACATTCCATGCAACTTCTAATTGAAAAAAATCCACCTGGAAGTGGATCCATCCAGTTCAAACCCTCGTAGTTCAAGAGTCAACTGTATAGCAAAAACTTAGAACAGTCAACTAAAGTGAGGAATGCATTCAGCAGGACAAAACGCAGCACATACTCTGGGTCTCTGTGTGGGTCAGGTTATGGAAGTGTATATCCACATACACACACATATATACCAAGCAGGTATGTATTCCCATCTAAAAACAATATCCACAGCTACACAGAGAAAAATGAAACGAACCTTTGGGATAAAAATTACAAACCCTTTTTTTTTTTACATATATGACAATGTAAAATAAGAATTCAGGTGTGTGATAATTACCCAGAGGTATTCTAATATCCTCATTTATCAAAGAAAATTTTTATGATGCTCTCTGGCTAAGGTCAGAACTTATTGTATTTTAGGAAGAACTTTTCAACACAAAATGAAACAAAAAGGATTTTCTGCTTAACTCTGACTCAACTAGAAAATTAAATTATTCAGAACACCCTGTTTTCCAAGTATCCCAATTATTCATGGTTCTATGATAATTTACTCTGCAATGCTGAATTACTGAATCACATACTCAACTATTAAATTTTTGTATGAATATAATTTCCACATTGCAAAAGCCCTGAAAGAAATATGAGCCAGTATGATCGTGGCCACAGCACTAAATGCCCAAACCACTCAATGCTGTTGGTTTATGTATGTGCTGCTGGGTGTCATAACCCCAATACATATTTAATACGGGCAACTAGGTGCGGTGTGCTGGGCTGGGGCACGGAGAATCAAGGCCCACAGAGATTTGTTTTCTGGGCTCAAACAGGTTTGAATCAAATAGGGCATATAAGACTTCTATATAAAAGCCATAACCAAGGTAGAATGTATGAGGGCCGTAAAATTTATAGACGTAATAATACAGGAAATGAAAGAAAAGAGAGAATTCAAGCTGGCTAGCATTTAAGTGAAGACTGAGGGAGAAAGACAGATTTAAAGAGATGAAATGGACATTTGTTACTGGGAACTGAACAGCTCTTGAGTGTGGACTCATGGCTGGTTCCACTTGCTCAATACGGAGGCTGCATGCCAGGGACAGGTAAGCACATGTCTAGATATGGAGGCTGTGGTACAATACTGGGCAGATCAAATCTATTCTGTAATGAGTAAGAGCCCAATGTGTCTAACAGGTGTCCTCAAACTACAGCCCGCAGGCCACATGCAGCCTGCTGAGGACATTTATCCAGCCCGCCAGGTGTTTTTGCTGCCACTGCCTGTCCTGCTTAGCAGCTGACTCATCCCGAGGCCCGCAGTCCGACCCTCCAACGGCCTGAGGGACAGTGAACTGGCCCCCTGTTTAAAAAGTTTGAGGACCCCCGCTAGAAACTACGCTCTAAGACGTGAGTGTGGCCAGCACCAAAACCAGTGAAAACACAGGCTGTGACATCCAAGTCTGCACAACCAGCCCAGTACCTCTGCAGCGCTGTCCCCCTTGGGGACTATCTTACCATTTCAATGATGCAGCCACCCTGATGTTTTTGGAATTCCTCTTTAAAATTGTCTCGGGTCCATTATACAGCCAACAAACACAAATCCATTTTGTTTTACTTCATTTAAAACTAACAATAGGGTAATAGAAGCAACTTACTTTGTTCACTGAGACCTAGTTCCAATTGGTATAGACTACCTCCACAAATCAAATATGACCTGAAAAAGTAGATTCACCACCTGGAGGAAAATTCTGGAGGAATTCATTCTCTGAGGACAATTGCAAAATAAAATTACACAAATAATTTTTACCTCCTCAGTGATGTAGTGGTTGCCTCAAGGGACTAAGTATTTTCTATCTTTGATCCACATGTATGTAGCTATTCCTCTGTGGCCCCTATTGCAGGTAGTAAAGTCACCACAATGTCAATTGAGACAGTGTCTTTCTTCCCTTGAGGACCTTGTAATTGAGTGGAAATCCATGCAGGGAGTTATAATATCACAGGACATCTGACGGAAGGAAACGTCCCCAGAAGGCATCCCACAGGCTCATTTGTCAACCACGGAGGCCGGTCTCTTAAAGCTACAATGTGTCAAAGACAACTAAAAACGCCACAGGAATAGAAACTAAGATCTGGCTCCCTGTGAGAGGAGGAGGTAGCAGCATTTTCAGATGGAGCTCTCTTATGGCCCCACACCCTTAGTAACCATCATTGTAGGTAGAACCATAGTCTTGCTTATATCAAACAGACTACGAAAGGTTCTCTTAAAAAAGCTCCAGGGCAGCTCCTGTGGCTCAGTGAGTAGGGTGCCGGCCTCATATACCAAGTGTGGCAGCTTCAAACCCAGCCCTGGCCAAACTGCAACAAAAAAATAGCTGGGCATTGTGGCAGGCGCCTGTAGTCCCAGCTACTCGGGAGGCTGAGGCAAGAGTAGCTGTGAGCTATGACACCATGGTACTCTACCGAGGGTAATAAAGTGAGACTCTATCTCTAAAAAAAAAAAAAAGAAAGAAAGAAAAAAGCTCCAGGAATAATCCTACTCAGTAACACAGAGTCTGTATCACTGACTGATCTGAGTCAGGAATTCCCACCGCTGGACTCTCGTCTGCCGACTGGAGGTAACTTTTTCACGAGAAGTTCCGTCATGTTGTTGTTACAATTAAAAAGATAAAAGAATGTCTGATGTTAATTTGTTGGATTAATAAAAAATAATATAAATTGTTCTCATTTTATTTATCATGGATGTATATGATT